ACAGAGGAAACATCAGAAGGGGGGATTTTTAATAAACACTTGGAATTCTTACTGAAGGCAGGCTAGAGTGGTAAGACAAACAGGGGAGCAGGGGAGCAAATAAATGGTTTCCGTATGCCTTTTTGGATTCTTTGGCAGGGTATAAAATTAAATTGACATAAACATCAATAAGAGAAAAACTGTAATTATGGACAGACACTTGGGAGTCCCACAAAATATGAGACTCAAAGTAGGTCAAATTATATAGTGTCCCGGGCTACAGAAAAGAATAAGGGTGTAGGGCTTCTGGGGAGGGAGATGGCAACACAAGTACGCAAGGGTGAGAGGGGAATTATGTGGTGAATCAAGGTCATTTTGTTATGTGGATAAAGATATCTCAGATTACAAAAGATGTCTTGGAACAAGTACAAGAAGATGATTTTCTAAAGACCATGATGTCAACTTCTAGTCTCTTCTAGGATCCAAGTTAATCTACCCTGGTTGATAAGACTCTCAGGAACGAATTCATAAAAACTGAGTTACCTTCAGAGGACATTCCTTAGGCAGAGAAGAAAAGCTCAGAGAAATCTTTGGCCTACCCTTGCTATTCCCCAAGTGCCCTCAGGCAAAAGTAATCAGTACATCAAGGTATATTTTGAGATGGTATTTTCTGAACTCCGTCATGGGGAATGAAAAAAATATTAACTGTCAGAGGGTGCATGTGCTCATGGAGGTAGGGGTGGTGGGGATGGTGAGGGAGAAAGCATCCCCAAAGAGGGCATAGTCATGCTGGAATCCTTTCTCTTCCATTTCTCCAATCTGTTGGGAGGATTTTAAGCATGCGCATTCATGTGCCCAACATATTTTTCAAGCAGCCAGGCTGGGATTTAAAGCACAGTTGGCTATGTGGGATCCAGCTCCCTTACCCATTAGGCTATCAGAATAAGAAATTTGTCAGATGCTGATCGTGGTTAGATACCAAGGGTGGGTGATTATTTTTTTATTTTTTGGCTAGGGTTTAGCAGGATTCTTGCTCAAACAAGATTCTATGACAGAGTGGGAAGGCCAGTTTGGACCTAGTGGAGCAGAAAGATTAGAGGAGCCTGATTAAAGTTAGGTCAAAGAGAAAGTCATTGTCATCCCTCAGGCTACATTAACCACACCCTCATCCCTTCTAGATTGCTTCACAGAAGTTTTGGGGAAGTATCTGAGGCAGAAAAGACCAGTGTACTACACAATTATCAAGAATCTGAACTTTAAGAGGAGGGCCCTCCATAGCTGTAGTTGAAATCAGCTGCAGTTGATTTTAAAGACATCTGCTTTATGAGTGAGGTCTTCTGAACCTTGAGACTCTGGTCATCCATCAGTCCACCCAAACACTCTCTGTTGGATGGGATTCCCTACCTGTTGGAGGCTGAGTAACGGCCTCCAAGAGAAATCCACATTTTGGGGGCCAGCAGATGGTATAGTGGTTACAGTGTTGTACTCTCACATGGTTGACCATGGTTCGAGTCTTGGACCTGGTGGCTTGAACCTCATGCTAGGCCCATGTTCATGTGTGCCCAAAATCCTGAGAAGAGAATGGAGGAGAAAGGACTATGGCATGGTCATTCCCCTGGAAGAGGTAGTGGTGGTGGTGATTCCTGACGTTCTGTCTTTTTGTCTCTGGTGAGTGTATGTGCCCTATGGCAAAAATCTCTCTCTAAAAGAAAAAAAAAAATCCATATCTTAGGAACCTGTGAATATCACTTCATATGTCAAACAGAACTTTGCAGAAATGATTAAGGATCTTGAGCTAGGAAATTATCCTAGATTATCCAGGCAGGACTTAACTGTAATCACGAGTGTCCTTATAAGTGAGAGCAAGAGACGGATTTGACAAAGATGGAAGAGAAGAAAGTAATGGGCCCCACAGGAGGAGACAGAAGTGAGGCATCTGCAGCCAATGTACACCAGCAGCCACCAGAAGCTGGAAGAGGCAAGGGATGGATTCTCTCCTAGAGCCTCTGGAGGGAGTTTGGCCCTGCCAACACCTTGATTTCAGACTTCTGGTCTCCAAAACTATGAGGGAATAACACCTGTTGTTTTAAGTCACTCATTTTGTTGCAGCAATAGGAAACTAATACATCAAGAGCTCCTCCTGGGTGGCTCTAGGCTGGTTGCTTTCCTGTTTTATCTGATCCCTGAGAAACACCATCCTTGGCCTCTGTGATCTGTGGCTCCTTTATAGCCCCTCTCCTTTGGTTGAAGTTGGAGGGAGAGCTCTGTCTTCACCTTCTCATGGGAAATGTAACAAAAATCAGAAAACTTCAAAAAAATTTCACCACTACCCTTTTCCTTCAATCTTGAATGTTATACTATGCAGCCCCACTCCTTTACAAGTCCCAGCTCAGAACATCCACTCCTTAGTGTTTAAGATTGAAGCCAACTGGCTCCTTTTGTTAATTCACAGCCTTTGGGCCTCAGTTCAAACCAAGGCTTGAAAGGACCTTGTTTTATTGCCCAGAATTCTCTAACAATTGCATTACTGAGATATGTGCTCTAGGCTAGAAGGCAGTGAATGGCTCTAGCTCAAGACATGCAGGAATAACACTTCGGCCTTGATCACTTCACCTCTCCAGCTTCCCTAGTATCCTCTGCAGGAAAATGAGAAGTTTGGAGGAGTCCACAATTCCAAAGCCACAAAAGTGTCAGTGGTGCACACTGAGCCAAGATGGTTCCATGAGGCTAGATACAGAGGGAATAAAACATGATGCTATGCAAGGCTGCCCCACATGGGAAGGTTCTGGGTTCATGTCTGGAGACCTGCCTGAGCACCCTGGGCATGCACATGAGTGTGATCCAGGACTAGCTGAAGCTGGGCATGGGGCCCTCATGGTGTCAAGACCCTGCTGGGTTGCTGTCTCTCTCCATTCTTTGTCTTTCTCACTCATAGACGGGATAAACTAAAGGCAAAAAAACAAGTCTAAGAGTCTCTGCCTTCAGTAGGTTAGAGAGAAAAGTCTCCTTAAGCTCAAAGAACTAATTTGTGTGCCTTGGATAAGGTGTACATTTGTAATGAGTTCATAAAAATAATATTTGCCAACAAAAAAACCCTTCAAGAAGGAAGTTAGTTTAGTTTAGTTTAGTTTAGTTTAGTTTAGTTTAGTTATTTGCTATAGGGTATGTGTCCTTGCTGGAGAGAGACAAAAACAGAGAGAGAAAGAAAGAAAGAAACAACCTTGCAGAAATGGAAGGGGATGGCTACACTGCAATCCCTTCTCTCTACACCCCTCATGGGATTTGGGGCATGCATGTGCATACACTCAGCGTGATTCTCAAGCAGCTGAGTGCAGAGCCAAAACTGCAAAGCTGGCCAACTGGGATCCAGCACCTCAATCTCTATACCACCTGCTGGCCCCAGACATTCTTTTCAATTTAGAAGTTACTTTTACCAGAGAGAGAGAGATGACAAGAAAAGTAAGGTGAGGGAGAGGTAAAGACATAGGTTGGAATTTCACATTACATTTTGCTCTGTGTGGGACTACAGATTTTCCCACCACTTCTTTCTTCCCTTCATTCCTCACTCTACCAGAATAATTATTTCTCCCACAGACTATTTTGTTTGTATATGATTAACATGGAAAAGATGTTTCACCTCCTCCAAGACACATCCTTTAAGACAAGGTACCAACCCATAGCAACAATAAATGTGTCATTCTAACATTAGCTTGTTATTAACAAGAAAAATCACAAACCTAAAAATAGCAGTTCCACTAGAGATAACTTGAAGGGAAATAGCCATGTGCGGAATGGTATTTCCAGAGGCACAATATACAAGGGGCCTCCAAACAGTTCACTAAACTCTGTATGTAGAGATCCAGATCACACATGGCCAACTGCGGCTCAAATCCTAACCTCAGCGCTTAAATATCACACTGGGCACATATGTGTATATGCCCAAAATCCTGACAGGAAAGAGAAATGAGGGAAAAGAGATTGCAGTATGATCACTCCCCATCAGGGGTGTTCTCTCTTTCTCTGTGGTGTGCATATGCACCCTTTGGCAATAACGACAACAAAAAAACTATGAGTTTATTCTGGTGCAGAAAAAATGTGAAATCTGTGCATATTATTTTTCACAATATACATTTTTCATGAACTTTTGGAAGACCTTTTGTACCTGAAGCTTTAAAGTTTCCAAACTCCTGATCCCAACAGCTTCTCCTAGGGTCTGTTTCTGGGGGAACCAGAACCAAGATGACCTGATGAACAGAGCAACAGTTATATACTCCAGATAAGGACTCCCAGCTCAGAGAATGGATCATCACCTTGCCTAAGGTCACACCATCTGAATTGAAACTCAGAGTAATCTGATAGTCAGTGCTCTTTCTTCCATTCTTTCCTCCCTGCCCCATGTCATCTTATTATCTTATTGTCAAATACAGCTTGTATTGTAACACGCATTGTTTTTTACCTTTCCCGTTAAAAATATTAAAGTGAGAAAAATTTAAATTATTGAGAAATCTTTTTTTAACATGTCAAAGCATCATACAGAAAACCCAGCCATATAAAAAAATCTGAAATCTGTTGTTAATTTGCTGTGTGATTCATTAATAATGCAGAATGTAATGTGAAATATTGATTATGATCAATCAATATTATTGACTGATGATTGTTACAGTTCTTTGAGTCACACTGTCTGTTCTTCTTTTCCATTTTTTCTCCCCTCCCCACTCTATTGAAATGTGCTCTCCAAAGACAGTTCACTTTCCCAGATGAGCAGTGTCTGAAGTAGATGGTATGAGTGCCCAACCCACATGCCTTCAGCATAGACCTGACCGCACTGGCATATTCCACAGGCAGCCCCTGCCATGACTGGCTACCTACCTCAAGTACCTGCATTCCTCTGCCTGAGGAGGTGGCTGCAGGAGCACTATTGACCACTAGGAAGGCAAGACAAGAAGTGTCAGGTCCTTATGCTCCCAGAAGCAATCCTTGACCAAGGAGGGACAGGAATTTCCCAGTTCTTTGTCCTTGAGCGGGCTGATTCTCACAGAACATTCTGCAGAATTTCTCAGAAGATGCCCAGATGGCTCTAATTAAAAAACAAAGACCAAAGAGGGACAAACTGGCTCAATAAAAGTTGCGATAAGGTCAGCAAGTTGCATGGAGTTTAAGGTGCCTGAATCTCACATGGCCGACTGTGGTTTAAGTCCTGGACTTGGTGGCTTGAAGATCACACTAGGTGCCTGTGTGTGCATGTTCAAAACCTGGAGAATGGAGAAAGGATTGCTGTGTGGCTATCCCCCTTGGGGGGTGATTTCTCCCTTTCCTTCTTTCTGTCTCTCTCTCTCTCTCTCTTGTGAGTGCAAATGCCCTGGGGCAAAAATCTAAAAACAATTTTAAAAGCTGCGATTAAAAAATAACAATGGAGACACACATGGCAAAATCTCACCAGTTATTAAGTCAGATCTTGGGGGATACGGATAGTGCTTTATTCTTTAACCCTGACTACGACTTTTTAAAAAAATTTATTTACATTCATTCATTGTACATCATTACAGCATACAAAATGAGATTATCCATCCAGAGTACACTGTATATTGGCTCAATCAAGCACATCAACATTCACGTTCTCAGCAAATAATTTTCCATTTCTTGTTTCCTGTATGTTCTGCCTATACGGATAGTGCTTTATTCTTTAACCCTGACTACGACTTTTTAAAAAAATTTATTTACATTCATTCATTGTACATCATTACAGCATACAAAATGAGATTATCCATCCAGAGTACACTGTATATTGGCTCAATCAAGCACATCAACATTCACGTTCTCAGCAAATAATTTTCCATTTCTTGTTTCCTGTATGTTCTGCCTATTTTTTTCCCCATCCTTGATTCCCTATCTCTTACCCTCTGCCATCTCCCACTCTCCTCCCACACTGTCTCTGGTATCTATGTTTGCTTTCTATACTTTATTCCCCCACATTTAATTGAGTCACTAAAGATCTTAATTAATCTAAATATTTTCATAGCAAGCACAGCTGATATATACATTTCCATGAATACAAGTCCAACTTTAAACATAAGCCTCAGTGAGTAGAATGAACAACCTATAAAGTAGCACCTAGCTGGGGCTATATATCTTACTGCAGTCATCAAATAGGTATTGTTAATGCATTTATTTTTAATTTCAAGAAAAATAATTTTAAGTTTTTTTTCTGAAACTTTTCTTTTTTTTTTAATTTAATTTACATTTATTCTCTAATCATCATCACAGCATACAAAATGTGATTTCCCATCCAGAATATACTGCATAGTAGCCTAATCATGCAAGCAAGTTATTACCAAAAATTTTCCATTTCTAGTTTCTAGTATTTTATTTTTACCCCTATTTCTGACCCTCTGTCCTTTCCCAACCTCTTCTCACACTATCTCTGGTGTCTACAGTTGTCTTCCATTCCTTCCTCCCCACACATTGTATTGATCACGCAATTGCTTAAATAATCTAACTACTTTCAATAGCAAGTTCACTTGGTACTATTAAGAAAACTAGTTTTAACTTAAATCAAAGAAATGCTAAGAAACTTTGCTTAAAACTTAAAGCCAGGAGGGAACCAGCAGTTAGCGTAATGGCTATGTCGCTGGACTCCCACGTAGTCGATCATGGTTCGCGTCCTGGACCCGGTGGCTTAAAACTCACGC